CCTGCTCCACGACGTGACCATGGCCGGGCTGCAGGAGCTGAGGTTCCCCGAGGAGAAGCCGCTGCTCCGGGGCCTGGACGCCACCGAGCTGGTGAGTCGCCCCCTCGCGGTCCTGGGGCGGAGAGCGCCCCCTCGTGGCCAAGAAGGGAACCGCGTGTCTTCCCTCCGGTCTTGCCCCGCTGACCCTCCAGGGAGCCACCCGCAGGCCAGGACCACTCAGGCCCCCTGCGAGCCTAGTCCCCTCCTGGGGACAGTCCGGTGTGACTGACACCCGGCCAGCCTCGCTGCGGCTCTGGTTGTCTTTGCGGTTGGGAGACTTTTTTAAAAAAATGTTAATGTTTTTATTGATTTTGAGAGAGAGAGAGAAAAAAAGGGAGAGGAAAAGAGAGAGCAACATTGATGTGAAAGCGAAACATCGATGGCTGCCTGGGAGGCTCTTGGGAAGTGTTATCCCCATTTCACTAATGAGACCACTGAGGCACAGACAGGTTAATTCACTGGGCCAAGGGCACACAGCCATCAGGGGGTGAGGCTGAACTTCACCCCTGGCTCTGGAAGGCCCAGGAGGGTACCTGCGGGCAGTGCTGTGTCTAGCAGGGCACAGCGCTCCCCACCTGCCGGGCCTTTCCTGGTCCCCAGCTTCTCTGTCTTCTCTGCGCAAGCTCTGAGGTTTGAGGGCCCGTATCGCCAACAGGGTGCCCCCAGGGGCAGGGGGACCAGAGCAGCTGAGGTGGTTATTTTGTCCCATGAGGCCTAGGGCTAGAGTCCAGAGTTATTTCTACCCTTTGCTTCCATTGAAAGTGGAAGAAAGAGGGAAAGACAGAGAGAAACATCGATGTGAGAGAAACACATCCATTTGGTTGCCTCCTGCACGAGTCCTGACCAGGGCCCGGGCCGGGGAGGAGCCTGCCACCCAGGTACGTGCCCTTGACCGGAATCGACCCCGGGATCTTTTGGTCCACAGGCCGACACTCTGTCCACTGAGCCAAACCAGCTAGGGCTGCCCCCTGCTTTCTTGTTGTGGTGACGCCTGCCACCCTTCCCCTCCCTGCAAGGAAAAGCTGTGGGTCCACGCTCATAGATCCCACACCGTGTGGCCTGTGGCCCGGCCTCTCTGAGCCTCCCCCTTCCCTCCTGGCGAGGGAGCCCTTCACATTTTCCATGAACAGGGACATGGATGTGAGTAGCTCTCATAGGCTCCTCCGCCAGGCACTCACAGCCCCGCGCCCGGCCCCTGGGAAGCCCTGGGTCACTTCTGTTAACATAAAGGTGAATGGGGTCCTGGCCGAGGTGGCTCAGTTGGTTGGAGTGTCATCCCATGCACCAGAAGGTCTCAGGTTCGATTCCCTGTCAGGGCATATGCCTAAGTTTCCGATTCAGTTCTGCTCTGGTGCGTGCAGGAGGCAACAGACCCATGTGTCTCTCCCACATCGATGTTTCTCTCTCTCTCTCCCTCTCTCTCTCTTGCTTAAAAAAAAAAGAATGGGGGCCCTACCTGGTTTGGCTCAGTGGATAGAGTTCGATGTTTCTCTCTCATCGATGTTTCTAACTCTCTATCCCTCTCCCTTCCTCTCTGTAAAAAATAATATATATATATATATAAAGAAATATTTATTAAAAAAAAGAAAAAAAGAATGGGGAACAGGTTGCTAGTCTGCTCAAGGCCAAGCCCATGGGGGCCCCTGGCCAGCCAGGGCCTAACACCCACCCCCTCTGTTTGCTCCCTCAGGAGAACTCTGACACCTTCCTCTTGGCCGAGGACACAGACTGGAAGGTAGGATTCAGCCACCTGATGTGGGGGACTGACAGCTGGCTGGTCCCTGAGGAGGGTCACACCTTTCCACGTGCCTCAAGTGACAGGGGCTCAGCACTGAAGCCTCCAGGGCCACCCTCACTGTCTACAGTGGCTCTGCCTGCCCCCTGCCCCCTGCCCCCGTCCCCTGTCCCCTGTTCTGAACAGAAGGGGGAAGGGAGGCCTGGGGGAGTGAGGATGGAGACAGGAGGGAGGGATGCTGTCATCTGAATCAGCATTTTCCTCCAATGAAAGCCAGGCTGATGCTCCAAAATAGCTCCCTGTTTCCATGGCAGCTGTTGCCGGGACAACCATGTCCTCTTTAGCGGGATGCCAGATTCCCTGTGAAAACCGAAATCGCCCTTTGTTTTTATTCCTTCTCACCGTGATTTCACTCACTCAGCCAGTCATTCCTCTGCTCTGAGTTGCGTAGTGGCCCTTTACTCCCGGGTCTGGGGAACCGTCTGGCAGCAGACACAGTGGGAGCCTCTCCAGCACACGCTGAACCAGCTCAGACCCTTCTGGGCCCTTCCTCCTGGCTCCGTGGAACTGGCCCCCCAGGCCTGGGCCTGACTGCAATGTGGGTCAGTGTCCAAGCCCCAGGACAGCCCCAGCCTCGTGGTCTGCGAGGGTGACGTGGCGGTGGGGCGACATGCTGGCTCCTCCCCGGACAGCAGCTCTGCAGCCAGGCTCCACGTCTGTGAGCCCGGCCTGGGTCACGAGCCCCTTCAAGGACGCAAGAGCGAGCTCGCGCTCCAGTCCCCCAGGAGTTCCAGCTCCAAATACAAAGGCTCTGGAGCTGGGCAGGAGGGAACAAACAGGACACCTGGGAGGGAGAGAGGGGAGGAGTGCGGCCATGAGATAGCGAGGCCCAGCCAGAGGCCTGGGCAGGCATGTCCTCCTTGTCCTCCTGCCCCCAAGAGAGAGGGCGGGAATGTGTGGACCCCGCCCCAGGAGGGGGCTGGTGACATCAAACCCCAGAGCAGCCAGTCCCTGCCTCATCTTCCTCAAGGAACGTGTAAAGCATTTGAGTAGATCCTGGCATGTGGAGATATTTCAATACGAATTTGCTACTCTTTTTTAAAAATTATTTTTTTGTATTGATTTCAGAGAAGAAGGGAGAGGGAGAGAGAGATAGAAACATCAATGATGAGGGAGAAGCATTGATTGACTGCCTCCTGCACGCCCCACACTGGGGATCAAACCGGCAACCTGGGCATGTGCCCTGACCGGGAATCAAACCCTGACCTTGTGGTTCATAGGTCAGTACTCCACCACGGAGCCACGGCAGCCGGGCACATTTGCTACTCTTACTGATGCCCAAAGTGCTAAGGTGTTTGTAAGCTTCAACTTCCTGATCCTTTCTCAGAGGTTTGTGAGCATCATGTGCTATCCACGCAGCTGCCTGTGCACGGGCACTGCTGTTTTCCCACTTACAGAGGTGGAGGCTCAGAGAGGTTGACTGGCCGGCCCAAGGTCACACAGCAGAGATGTGGCAGAGCTATGTAGCAGGACCGGGTTCAGGTAGCAGGTCCAGAGCCTGCCTCGTTCAGCCACAACTGCACAGGCTCCAGGGAAGGGGCCAGCAGTTTGGGACGACACATGGACTGTCCCATGTTTCCAGACATGGGCGGGGCCCGGGCAGGAGTGGGGTCAGGTCCAGAGCGATTGATGCAACTTTTTCTCATTCTCAGAGCAGCTCTGTGTGGAAGGCACAATTCCCGTTGTACAGCAGCGAGGCCTGGGGCGCAGGGAAGTTAAATCTTGCCCGAGGTCTTCCAGCGAGTGGGCGGGGAGCTGGGACTTCACCTCAGGGCTATGGATGTGAAGCAAGTGGCTGAGCAGAAATGGGGCCACAGCTTGGAGTGGGCAGTGTCTGAGGTCAGCTTCTCACCTGAGCCCAAGGGTGGGAAGGCCACTCAGCGGTCAGAGGCTGGAGCGGGCATAAGATTGGATGGGGACCACGGAGGAGCAGGGCTTGGTGGCAGAGAGGGTGGGAGGCCCCTTGTCCCCCACTCCGAGTAGCAGCTGGGGGGGCTCTTGTGGGCTGTGCCTTTGCAGCCGCCTCAGTGGCTGGAGCCGCTTCCTGTGTCCAAGTGGCTGCAGGGAACAGGGAGAAAGGCCAGGACATGAGGGGCCCGGGACACCCCGTTCCACACCCTGGCTGCCCTGGGCAAACGCAGGGCCCAGCGCTCTGGGCCAGGCCTCCGAGCGAGAGGTCAGAGAGGGGGCAGGGAAAGTTCTCGGTGCCTACCCCCCCAGGCACAGGCCCGGGCCAGGAATAGCATGCCTGGCAGGTGTTGACCAGGTCACTAGGCACCCGAGAGGGGAGGTAACTGCCGCCCCCAGCGCAGCCAGCCAGTGTGCAGCCTGGGGCGAGTGGCGTGGCCCTTCAGCAAAGAGACAGAATGGGGGCACAGCGCCCCGCACCCCTCCCTCCACCGCTGCTCCTTCTTGTCCTTGGGCTCCCTCCTCTGCCCGCTCCCTGGCCTATTTCCTCTCATCCTCTGCTCTCCTTTGCTCCCTGTCTCCTGTGTCTCTACCTGCCCGTCCCTGGCCAGCTCCCACCCAAAGCCTTGTTTCTGGGGTTGGGTCAGGGCATGGGACCTGAGGGGGCTCATGTGTCCTGCTCCCCTGAGATCTGGGAGCCAGGCCCCATGCCGGGTGGGTCTGCGGGGAGGTGGGCAGGAAGTCAGTCCTGGCTGCAGGATGGGGTGGGGGAGGGCAGAGCTGGTGCGTGCCCCACCAGACTTTTGGGCCTGCAACCCCAGGCCCCTGTGCCCTCTGCAGTGTGGACGGGCGCTGGGTGTGCAGGTGGGCAGCGTTGGGGCTGCCCTAGGGGAGACCCTGGCGGGTGGAGAAGACGGGAGTGACTTCCCACATCGCCTCAAGGCTGTGATCCAGGCCCTCCTGCTGTGGAGGCTGGGCTTGGGGCCCCCCAGGTCCCTCCGTGCTCCCCAGGCTGTAGGTCAAGGGCACACATGTGTGGTCCATGAGAGGCTCGCGGGTGCCTGACACAGGCCCCCCCTTCCCAGGACCCCGTGTGCAGCGGGCTGCAGCCCTCCCCGCGTGTCCGTGTTGCTAGGGGCGTGGGGATGCGGAGGAGGCTGGGGACCATCCGGGATGATGCGTTGCTGGGGGTGGGGGTGAGACTGGCGCCGGGCTGGGTGAGCGAGGACCTCAGCAGCCAATGGGAGCCAGGTTTGTCTCCCGACAGCCAATCTGGAAGCGGGGGCTGCGGGCCGG